AGGAGGCTTGTAATAAATGGAAAGTTGGGGCCAGAAGCATTGGCAACAAAGATCTTAAGGGAGGAGTCTCCGATCACCCCACTAGGTGACGGCAGCTTTGGTGACCACTAATCCAATGCTGTCACCTCCCTACCTCTGCATAAGGGCCCAGTTTACAAACGAAATGTGTCACTGGGAAAGTGAATAACACCCGAAGGTCCTTTAAGGAGGGATAAAGAACAATAAAAGGCTGGGTGCAGTGGCTCATGCCTGTAATCCCAGCGTAGGTGGATCACCTGAGGTCAGGAGTTCGAGACCAGCCTGACCAACATGGTGAAACCCCGTCTCTACTAAAAAATATATATATACAAAAAATTAACCGGGTGTTGTGGCGCATGCCTCTAATCCCAGCTACTTGGGAGGCTGAGGCAGGAGAATCACTTGAAGCCAGGAGGCTGAGGTTGCAGAGAGCCGTGATCACGCCATTGCACTCCAACCTGGGTGACAAGAGCAAAACTCCATCTCAAAAAAAAAAAAAAAAAAGAAGAAAAGAACAATAAAAACCTTTCCCTGAAGAAAAAACCTTTCCCTGGATCTCAAGTTCTCCTGATTATGATTCTGCAAATATTTGGTGTCCATACGTGGCTGAAGACTGCACCGGTGGGAGGACCCCGCGATAAACTATTTCTGTGGTCTAACACCTGGCCAACTCTCCAGACAACGTTTCAAACGTGGATTTCCCCAGCACTTTGGGAGGCTGAGGAGGGAGGATTGATTGAGCCAGGAGTTCAAGACCAGCCTGGGCAACATAGCGAGTCCCCCATCTCTACAAAAAATACAAAACTTAGCCAGGCATGGTGGCACACACCTATAGTCCCAGCTACTTGGGAGGCTGAGTGGGGAGGATGGCTTGAGGCTGGGAGGGTGAAGCTGCAGTAAACTGATGGTGCCACTGCACTCCAGCCTGCTGCACTGGAGACCCTGTCTCAAAAAATAAAAACAAGCAAACAAAAAAAAATTAAACTTAGCTGGGAGTGGTGGCATGTGCCTGTAGTCCCAGCCACTCGGAAGGCTGAGAGAGGAGGATCGGTTCAGTGCAGAAGCTGAAGGCTGCAGTGAGATATGGATGCACGGTTCACTCCAGCCTGGGCGACAGGGCAAGACCCTGCCTCCAGAAAAAAAAGGGGGGTTAGCAACAGGTGCAGCCAGACAGCAGCTGCCTGCAAAATGAGCTCCCTTGGCCCGGCTAGCAGGGACAGGGTTTAGGAACAGAATAGAACTGAATGACAGTTCTATTCTGAGTGACATCGGGGAGGTGTCCTCACAGTTGCTGCCCTTCCTGAGCTGAGGCAGGAGAATCGCTTAAAGCTGGGAGGCAGAGGTTGCAGTGAGCCGAGATCGCACCACTGCCCTCCAGCCTGGATGACCGGTGAGACTCCCTCTCAAAAAAAAACAAAAACAAAAACCAACCTCTATAAATTCTAGCCCTCTGGCCCTCGAATCTCCCAAGTCATGAATGACAATCAGGAACAAGGTTATCGAAACAGAAATAGAGAATACACATTTCTGCTTTTTCCCCCGGCACACAAATGAGGTGGTGAACACTTGATGTTTTCTTGACCTATGCTACTGAAGACAGTTGTATGAGGAAATCAAAATTGTAGCTAGAATAATTTCCTTGAAGGGGAAACAAACAAACAAAAAATCCCCTGGCTGGAGGGAGCAGAGCCAGCTGAAAATGAATCAGAAATCAATTCATCAGCGGGGCACGGTGGCTCAAGTTTGTAATCCTAGCACTTTGGGAGACCGAGGCGGGCAGCTCATGAGGTCAGGAGTTTGAGACCAGCCTGGCCAACATGGTGAAACTCTGTTTCTACTAAAAATACAAAAATTAGCGGGCAAAAATTAGGTGGCATGCACCTGTAGTCCTAGCTACTTGGGAAGGCTAAGGCAGGAGAATTGCTTGAACCTGGGAGGTGGAGGTTGCAGCGAGCCGAGATCACGCCATTGCACTCCAACCTAGGCAACAGAACGAGACTCCAACTCAAAAAAAAAAAAAATCAATTGATTGGTGCTTTTTCCAAACAAGGTGGGTATTTTCCGGAGGGTGATCTGTGATAGATTTTGTTTCCTGCTGCTTTTAAGAGAGAATGCCTGACTCTGTCACTGTTTGCTGCTGGTTAGTTACATCTGCAGTCCCTTAGCAACAAAAAGCTATTTGCTTGACAGTTGGTACAGAGTGTGGAAGGCAATAGGGACATCAAAAGCCCATTAAAGCACAGATAGAAGCAAGCAGCAACAGACCCATCTCGAACTGGACCTTACCTGGAAGGAAGTCTACGGTAAGAGCAGGAATAAGGAAAAGAATTCCCTCCTGAAACACCACAGGGGAAGAAAGAAAGGGACAAAAGGAACAGAATACCCCTACGGGTTTTCTGTCTCAACAAAGCTCACCCTGATTTTTCCCAGTGTTCCCTGAAGATAGGTACTTCCGGAAATGACAAGGGAATTGTCCTGGGACTCGATAAAGCAGACACAACTCCCTTATTCAAGTTTGGGTGAGCCATTAACATGTTTGACGACGAGCTCACCACTGTTGCCTGATTTTGATCTAAATGAACGCCTGTGGTTCAGATTTCAACAACAACGTCTCCTTCCTAAAGAAAACCGACAAGAAACTCCCCCCTGGATATGCCCTGAAGCCAGCTAGAGCCTGTGGTGGCGCAGCTAGGAGTGCTAGGAACACACATCACCTAATTCTCAGAAGTCTGGAGGAAAACATCAGGGGTGTAGCCTCCTTGACAACAGAAGGAATGTCACATTCTCAGTCATCCCGTGAGAGAGAAAACTAAAGTGATGTACAAACAAGGTCTTGCTCAAGACTTCCTTAGCAACATTTTCTCTTAAGGAAGAGGTTGATCGGTGACTGAAATACAAGTTACTCCAGGGCCTCTCTTTATTTTATAAAATTGGGTGGCAGACTTAGGGAGGCCGCAGTAGGAGAATTGCTTGAGGCCAGGAGTTCAAGAGCAACCTGAGCAACAAAGTGAGACCTCATCTCTACAAAATGTTAAAAAATAAATAAATAGGGCCGGGCGCGGTGGCTCATGCCTATAATCCCAGCACTTTGGGAGGCTGAGGCGGGTGGATCACGAGGTCAAGAGATCGAGACCATCCTGGTCAACAAGGTGAAACCCCGTCTCTACTAAAAATACAAAAATTAGCTGGGCATGGTGGTGCGCGCCTGTAGTCCCAGCTACTTGGGAGGCTGAGGCAGGAGAATTGCTTGAACCCAGAAGGCAGAGGTTGCGGTGAGCCGAGATCGTCCCACTGCACTCCAGTCTGGATAACAACAGCGAAACTCCGTCTCAATAAATAAATATAAGAACAATCATCGGTATTTCACTGCATCCTCCCTCCCTCTCTGACCTCCCAGAGGAAACCGGTGTGTTAGTTACCATGTGAATTTCAACAGTTCAAAGCTCTCCCTCCAATCAAGGCCAACCCCTTGCCAATGAAAAAAAAGTTTCCTGCCATCCTTGTGTTCATCAGGCAATCCCAGTCCTTTTCCAAGTAGGCTGGTTTTCAGGAGGGAGAGGGCCATGTAGCTATAGTCTAGGGCGAGGCTGTCTCTCTGCAACTAATTTAAAGCCACCTAAAAGGCTCCAACTCGGAATCATGTACCACCCAGCCTCTGTCGAAAACTAAAATCGAATCAACTTCCCCCAAAGGAAAAATCGCCATGTGGACAGCAGAACCGAAGCCATTCACAGCCTCGGAAGAGGCGAGGCCACCCCAAGGGGTCACTGCCCCACCGTGGCCGAAGATCTCGGTTGCAGACCAAGGAGGGGCGGTGAGATTCTGAGGCAAAACCGAGACCTTGAGGGTGGCCGGGGTTCCCTCTAAGAACTTGACCGGTGCTGGCGGGGCGAGGGCGGCCCCCAGGACAAGGTGGGGATGGAGGTCTCGCCACAGAGCACGGGGGAAACCGAGGCCTTCACCGGGAGGGCCCGATCGAACCGAGGGCGCCTCCTGTATGTCGCGGAGGCGGCTCTGGGGTACCGGGAGTTGTCGCCGCCTTTCTGACAGGAATCGCACAGGGACAAGGGGCCTCCCCTACAGCTGCCTCACCCGGGACAAGGTGCGGCTCAAACTTCCGCGGCAGCCCCGCCCAGCTCGTACGCAATCCCCGCCTACCAGACGCCCGCCTCCGCCTCCGCCGCTTCCCATTGGATGAGGGGAGTGGCTCGAGGCTCGCCTGTTCGGACTGAGACCAATGGGACCCGGGAGGCGGGCCAAAGGGGTGGAGGCTGGGGCGGGTGGGCCCCAGCCCAGAGCACGCGGCGGAATCGGAGGGTGCACCTAAAGCCGATCGGGACCCCTGAGCCCCTGCCCGCGGGGCCTCCAGGCAGGGCACCCGGGCCTCCAGTCGCCCTCGCCCCCAGAAGGACTTAAGGAGGGGGTGGTCCTTCCTTTTAGGACTGGAGGTCCCCATACGCCGCTCTTAGAAAAGGGGGACCCGGCCGGGAGCAGTGGCTGGCGCCTGTAATCCCAGCACTTTGGGAGCCCAAAGCGGGTGGATCACCTGAGGTCAGGAGTTCGGGACCAGCCTGATTGACACGGTGAAACCGCCGTCTCTACTAAAAGTGCAAAAATTAGCCGGGCTTGGCGGCGTGCGCCTGGAGTTCCAGCTACTCGGGAGACTGAGGCAGGAGAATCGCTTGAACCCGGGAGGCGGAGGTTGCAGTGAGCCACTGCACTCCAGCCTGGGCGACAGAGCTAGACTCCGTGTCAAAAAAAAAAGAGGGTGGCCCCTTACCCAGTCAGACTTGGGGGAGCCGTGCCCCGTTTCCCCGAAGTCCCTCAGACTCCCTCCAGCCGTTTGGGAAGGACCTCGCGTCATTATCCCACATGTTTCCCAGGGACGGAGTGATTATTTTTACAAAATAAATACATTCCCAAGGGTCCCCAACCCCGGGGGCTCCCTCTCTCCCTGAGTGGGCGCCTAGAGCAAGCCTTACCTGCAGCCCCCGCCGCGTAGAGGAGCAGGGCGACGGTCCAGCGCAGTTCCCAGCCCCAGAGCCCCATGCTTGAAGCCTGTCCCAGGCAGTATCACGGCCCGCTGTGTCCTCGCTGGAAACCCCGACTTCCCCCGACTGCACCCAGGGCTGGCGTCATTTACAGCATTTCAAAGAGAGGTTCCCTAGCAGGGGGAGGAGTTTGCAGTGGGGTGATTTTCAACTGTCTTCACCTCACAGCGAGAGGAGGAGTTTTGAACGGCCGATGTGACATCGCCTTTTTAACCCCTGAAGCTCTGATGATCACTCCAGTCCATTGAAAGTGTCGCCAGGGCAGGCGGCTTGAGTTGCTGTGTTTGGGCCTCTGGTGAAGAGCTGAGTCCCCCCAAAATTGGAAACGCATCTTCTGAAAGATCCCCCTGACGTTTCCTGATTTTTAACTGTTAACGTTTCTTTTTGTTGTCCACAGAACGGTAACAGCAGCCTTTCAAAATCCTCTAATAGCCTAATGCTAGTCTCTCTGCCGCAAAAGGAAAACACCGGAAATGGTGGAAACTTCCGCCACTCTCTGCATTTGCCTTTTCCTTTCTAGGAATTGTATATAGGTGATTAGCTTACTTTCGTTGTATATTGTTTTTACATGGTTATTCCAAATCGCCTTATAACCAGTCATCAATAAGGAATTTAAATAAAATCTTCACAAAAGTACAGCAAACATATGTATTTTTTATTTTATTTTATTTTTTTGAGACGGAGTTTCGCTCTTGTTACCCAGGCTGGAGTGCAATGGCGCGATCTCGGCTCACCGCAGCCTCCGCCTCCTGGGTTCAAGCAATTCTCCTGCGTCAGCTTCCCAAGTAGCTGGGATTACAGGCACGTGCCACCATGCCCAGCTAAGTTTTGGGTATTTTTAGTAGAGACGGGGTTTCACCATGTTGACCAGGATGGTCTCCATCTCTTGACCTCGTGATCCACCCGCCTCGGCCTCCCAAAGTGCTGGGATTACAGGCTTGAGCCACCGCGCCCAGCCAGTATTTTGTTTTTGTTTTGTGGGATCCCGTCTTTGGATGAATTATGAGGATAAACATCTGAAAAATCAATGGTACAGATACCTGGAATCTGGACATGAATATTGATTTCTCCTTTTAGGAGGAGTTGAACAAACAGAAGGGTGGCTTCCTCTCCCTGGAAGCAAAATCAAAACAAAATAGGGCTTTCACAGTTGAGCTTGACCCCCTAGGCCAGAGAGAGCTGGTGGAGACCAACTTTAGAACTGAGTCTCCTTGGGGATTTATGGGGTTGCCGGAGCCTCTTGCCGAAAAGGCACGTTTGAGAAACTTGCCTGAACCCCACACAAGGCCAGGCAGCCTTGGCAGTTTCCCCCAGGAATGAGGTGGGTTTCTCCCGGGTTTTGCAAACTGACTTTGGCAGGGAGTGGTAACCTCTCAGCATGATTTTAGGGAAACCTAGGAGAGGAGGTAGAAAAGGGACAAATTGAACTCTCAGAAGGAAAAAAAATAATTAATCACGGAGAATGATTAAATTATTTTTATTATCTTTTTTTTTTTTTTTGAGATGGAGTCTCTCTTTGTCACCAGGCTGGAGTGCAGTGGCGCGATCTTGACTCACTGCAACTTCTGCATCCTGGGTTCGAGCAATTCTCCTGCCTCAGCCTCCTGAGTAGCTGGGACTACAGGTGCATGCCACCACACCCGGCTAATTTTTGTATTTTTAGTAGAGATGGGGTTTCACCATGTTGGCCAGGATGGTCTCCAACTCCTGACCTTGTGATCTGCCCACCTCAGCCTCCTAAGGTGCTGGGATTACAGGCGTGAGCCACCGCGCCCGGACATATCATTACGTTTTATTATTATTGGTTTATCATTATTTCCACCCCGGCTGGAATGCAGTGGTGTGATTATAGCTTTCTGCAGTGTCAACCCTGGGCTCAAGGGATCCTACTACTTCAGCCTCCCGAATAGCTGGGACCACGGGGTTGTACCACTATAACTAGCTAATTAAAAAAAAAAAATGTTATAGATGGGGTCTCACTATGTTGCCCAGGCTGGTCCTGAACTTCTAGCCTCTCGCAATCCTCTTCCTCTTGCCTCAGCCTCCCAAACTGCTGGCATTATAGGCATGAGCCACTGTGCCCAACCCAGAAGAAAAAAATGATAAGAATTTGCGTCAGTGAAGACTCAGTTTCAGAATTTGGCCTTGGACACATAAATTAGCTTTCCCAACCTGTAAAGGGGCCATCAAAATGCTTGAACCTAATTGACAGTGTCAAGGATAAATTGAAATAATTTGCAATCATCTAGGAAAGTTTACAAGGATAGGCAAGTTCTTTTTTTTTTTTTTTTTTGAGACGGTCTTGCTCTGTCACCAGTCTGGAGTACAGTGGCGAAATCTTGGCTCACTGCAACCTCCCGGGTTCTAACAATTCTTCCACCTCAGCCTCCCGAGTAGCTGGGACCACAGGCGCGTGCGACCACGCCCGGCTAATTTTTTTGTGTTTTTAATAGAGGCGGGGTTTCACGTGTTGGCCAGGATGGTCTTGATCTCTTGACCTCATTCCCGCCCACCTCAGCCTCCCAAAGTGCTGGGATTATAGGCGTGAGCCACCGCGCCTGGCCAGAATGGGCAAGTTCTAGGAGATGCTGCAGCATTTATAAATGCGTCCCCATTGAATCCCATTCCTTATGCCATTTGTTGCATTAAACAAAACAAGTGAGGCCGGGCGCCTATAATCCCAGCACTTTGGGAGGCCGAGGCGGGTGGATCACGAGGTCAAGAGATCGAGACCATCCTGGTCAACACGATGAAACCCCGTCTCTACTAAAAATACAAAAAATTAGCTGGGCATGGTGGCACGCGCCTGTAATCCCAGCTACTCGGGAGGCTGAGGCAGGAGAATTGCCTGAACCCAGGAGGCCGAGGTTGCGGTGAGCCGAGATCGCGCCATTGCACTCCAGCCTGGGCAACAAGAGCGAAACTCCGTCTCAAATAAATAAATAAATAAATAAAAATTAAAAAAAAATAAAAAACAAAACAAGTGAAGCCTGGGTGCAGTGGCTCATGCCTGACATCCCAGCACTTTGAGAGGGTGAGGCGGGAGGATCACAAGCCCAGGAGTTCAAAACCAGCCCGAGCAACACAGCAGGGCCCCGTCTCTACAAAAATAGAAAATCAAGCTAGACATGGTTGTATGTGCCTGTAGTTCCAGCTATGCGGAAGGCTGAGGTGGGAGGATGGCTTGACCTGGGAGGTCAAGGCTGCAGTGAGCTGTGGTTTCGTCACTGCACTCCACCCTGGGTGACAGAGTGAGACTATGTCTCAAAAATAAAGATAAAATTTAAAGCAAAAAATAAGTAAATAAAAATTTTAAAAGTCAGTGTCAGGCCAGGCGCATTGGCTCACACTTGTAATCCCAGCACTTTGGGAGGCTGAGGAGGGCAGATCACAAGGTCAGGAGATCGAGACCATCGTGGCCAACATGGTGAAGCCCCATCCTACTAAAAAAACAAAAAACAAACCCAAAATTAGCAGGGCATGGTGGCATGTGCCTGTAATTCCAGCAACTTGGGAGACTGAGGCAGGAGAATCTCTTGAACCAGGGAGTCGGAGGTTACAGTGAGCGGAGATCATGTCATTGCACTCCAGCCTGGTGACAGAGTGAGACTTCGTCTCGAAAAAAAAAAAGTCAGTATCTCTGGGGTTTTTGTTTGTTTTTGAGACAGAGTCTCGCTCTGTCACCCAGGCTGGAGTGCAGTGGCGTGATCTCGGCCCACCGCAACCTCTTCCTCCCAGGTTCAAGCACCACTATACTCCAGCCTGGGTGACAGAGTGGAACTCCGTCTCAAAAAAAAAAAATTATAAGACATAGGCTCGGTGTGTGCCATGAGTCCACACCTGGTGGTAGACAGGCCCAGAAAGAGTTTCCAGGAGAGGGACTCCCTTCCCAGAAGGCACTTGGCTTAAATAGTCCCCAGAGCTAGAGGTCAGCGCAGGTCTGGAAAAGAGCCACAAAAACTCTGGAAAGCACATTCCTAGGGTGCCAAGGCTGGGCCAAGGTTTCCAGAACAGCATTCACCAGGCCCCTGACCTGCCTGCGAAAATCTCGGGGCCTCTTTCCTGCCGGCCACGCACGGACACAGTCATACATGGCCCTGAGAACTGAGTCATGCTGATAAATTTTTCTGTTTCTTGGTTTCCATTTGTGCTCAGTAACTAGCTCATAGGGCTCTTGCAAGGATTAAATTAACATATATAAAGTGATGGCCAGGCGCAGTGGCTCACGCATGTAATCCCAGCACTTTCGGAGGCCGAGGCAGGCAGATCATCAGAGGTCAGGAGTCTGAGACTAACCCGGCCAACATGGCAAAACCCCATCTCAACTAAAAATACAAAGACCAGCCAGACGTGGTGGCAGGCGCCTGTGATCCCAGCTACTCAGGAGGTTGAGGCAGGAGAATCGCTTGAACCAGGGAAGCGGAAGGTTGCAGTGAGCTGAGATCATGCCACTGCACTCCAGCCTGGGGTACAAAAAATATATATATATATTTATATATATTTACATATATCACATACATATTTATATATGATATATAAATATATAAACATATAAATATAAATTTATATATAAACATATAAGTATAAATATAAATATATGTTATCTATAAATATATTTATATATATATATATAATATATATAAAAAGTGATTAGAGGCCAGGCAAGGTGGCTTAATTGCCAGCACTTTGGGAGGCAGGGGCGGCAGGATTGCTTGAGCCCAGGAGTTGGAAACCAGCCTGGGCCACATAATGAGACCCTGTCTCTACAAAAAAACAAAACAATTAGCCAGTCATGGTGGCTCACACCTGTGGTTCCATTTACTCAGGAGGCTGAGGTAGGAGGATAGCTTGAGCCCAGGAGGTTGAGGCTGCAGTGAGCTCCAATCACGCGACTGCACTCAAGCCCGCCCAACAGAGCCAGGCTGTCTCTCAATTTAAAAAAAAAAGTGGGCCGGGCGCGGTGGCTCACGCCTGTAATCCCAGCACTTTGGGAGGCCAAGGCAGATGGATCATGAGGTCAAGAGATCGAGACCATCCTGGTCAACATGGTGAAACCCTGTCTCTACTAAAAATACAAAAATTAGCTGGGCACGGTGGCGCGTGCCTATAATCCCAGCACTTTGGGAGGCCGAGGCGGGTGGATCGCTTGAGGTCAGGAGTTTGAGACCAACTTGGCCAACACAGTAAAACCCCGTCTCTATAAAAAAAAAAAGTGATTAGAGCACACTGGGTGGTACATAATAAGTATATGGGTTTTCCTTTTTCTGTGGCTGCTTTTGTGTTGCAACTGCATTTTTTTTTAAATCTCTTTAGGAAAGACCTGCCTGTTCCTGCCTTCTTTCTATGAGGGAGTCCGTAGGTAATCCTGCTGTGGAATCCACTTTAATTGGAAAGTTCCTGAACTCCCAAAGTTTATCTACTACAACTCAGGGTGGGTGATTTCCTCGTTGTAACAGACAGGGCCCGCCTGCCCTCGTCCTCACATTTTCTTCCTCTCTAATTCACCAGGAGGATCCGACCAGAATAGGTCTCTGCCCCAACCATCCTGGCTTTGTGACAGAGCTGAGCCATGGCAGCTGTGGCCTGGCCTTACACTCATCAGTCCACAAAGAAACCATAAGTAACCACAGAGACCTCAGTGCCTGCGAGTGGCTGGAATCAGGAACCTGGCTTGGCTCAGCCGGCATCAGTTCTCATCACAAAATGCCCATAAGCCACTTGAGGACAGACCCCAGGGCTTGCTGGAATACAGCAATATATATATATATATATATACACACACTTTTTTTTTTTTTCTTGAGACGGAGTTTCGCTCTTTTTTTTTTTTGAGACGGAGTTTCGCTCTTGTCACCCAGGCTGGAGTGCAATGGCACAATCTCGGCTCACCGCAACCTCCGCCTCCCGGGTTCAGGCAATTCTCCTGCCTCAGCCTCCCGAGTAGCTGGGATTACAGGCACGTGCCACCATGCCCAGCTAATTTTTTATATTTTTAGTAGAGATAGGGTTTCACCATGTTGACCAGGATGGTCTCGATCTCTTGACCTCGTGATCCACCTGCCTCGGCCTCCCAAAGTGCTGGGATTACAGGCGTGAGCCACCGCACCCGGCCGGAGTTTCGCTCTTGTTACCCAGGCTGGAGTGCAATGGCGCGATCTCGGCTCACTGCAACCTCCGCCTCCCGGGTTCAGGCAATTCTCCTGCCTCAGCCTCCCGAGTAGCTGGGATTACAGGCACACACCACCATGCCCAGCTAATTTTTTGTATTTTTAGTAGAGACGGGGTTTCACCATGTTGACCAGGATGGTCTCGATCTCTTGACCTTGTGATCCACCAGCCTCGGCCTCCCAAAGTGCTGGGATTACAGACTTGAGCCACTGTGCCGGGCCTACAGCAATATTAAAATCCCACAGTGGAGGCTAGGCAAGGTGGCTCACGTCTGTAATCCCAGCACTTTGGGAGGCTGAGGCGGGTGGATCACCTGGGGTCAGGAGTTCGAGACCAGCCTGTCCAACATGGTGAAACCCTGTCTCTGCTAAAAATACAAAATTAGCCAGGTGTGTGGCGTGCGCCTGAAATCCCAGCTACTCAGGAGGCTGAGGCAGGAGAATTGCTGGAACGCGGGAGGCGGCCCAAGATTGCACCACTGCACTCCAGCCTGGGTGACAGAGTGAGACTCCATCTCAAAAAACTAAAAATAAATAAATAAAATTCCACAGTGCCTCCCAGAACACAGCAGTAGTAAAAGTTGCATAAATATGTGGAAATAAGGCCAGGCATGGTGTCTCATGCCTGTAATCCCAGCACTTTAGGAGGCTGAGGTGGGCGGATCACTTGAGATCAGGAGTTCAAGACTAGCATGGACAACATGGCAAGACCCTGTCTCTACTAAAAAAGAAAATAAAGGGGGCAGGGAAGGCTAGGGGAAGGATAGCATTAGGAGAAATACCTAATGTAGATGACAGGTTGATGGGTGCAGCAAACCACCATGGCATATGTATACCTCGGTAACAAACCTGCATGTTCTGTACATGTATCCCAGAACTTAAAAGAAAAAAAAAAGGCTGGTGGGGTGGCTCATGACTGTAATCCCAGCGCTTTGGGAGGCCAAGGTGCGTGGATCACCTGAGGTCAGGAGTTCGAGACCAACCTGATTGACATGGTGAAACCCCGTCTTGGCCGGGCGCGGTGACTCAAGCCTGTAATCCCAGCACTTTGGGAGGCTGAGGTGGGTGGATCATGAGGTCAAGAGATCGAGACCATCCTGGTCAACATGGTGAAACCCTGTCTTTACTGAAAATACAAAAATTAGCTGGGCATGGTGGCACGTGCCTGTAGTCCCAGCTACTCGGGAGGCTGAGGCTGGGGAATTGCTTGAACCCAGGAGGCAGAGGTTGCGGTGAGCCGAGATCGCGCCATTGCACTCCAGCCTGGGTAACAAGAGTGAAACTCTGTCTCAAAACAAAACAAAACAAAACAAAAGAAACCCCATTTCTACTAAAAATACAAAATTAGCTGGGCATGATGGTGCATGCCTGTAATCCCAGCTACTCAGGAGGCTGAGGCAATAGAATTCCTTGAACCCAGGAGGGGGAGGTTGCATGAGCTGAGATCACACCATTGCACTCCAGCCTGGGCAACAAGAGCAAAACTGCATCTCAAAAAAGAAAAAAAAAAAAGAAAAAGAAAATAATTAGCTGGGCATGGTGGTACACACCTGTAGTCCCAGCTACTGAAGAGACTGAGGCAAGAGAATCACTTAAACCCAGGAGGCAGAGGATGCAGTGAGCCAAGATCACACCATTGCACTCCAGCCTGGGCGACAAGAGCTAGAGTCTGTCTCAAAAAAAAAAAAGAATTACCTTTTAATTTAGAAATTCCACATCCGAAATATGCCTAAAAGCATTGAAAGCAGAGCCCCAAAGAAGTATTTGTATACCATGTTCATAGAAGCATTATTCAAGATGGTGAAAGGTGGAATCAACCCAAGTGTCCATCAGGATAAACAAAATCTGACGTTAATATAATAGAATATCATTCAACCTTAAAAAGCAAGGAAATTCATGGTCGGGCGCGGTGGCTCACGCCTGTAATCCGAGCGCTTTGGGAGGCCGAGGTGGGTGGATCAGGAGGTCAGTTAATCGGGACCATCCTGGCCAACATGATGAAACCCTGCCTCTACTGAAATACAAAAAATTAGCCGGGCGTGGTGGCTCACTACTCAGGAGGCTGAGGGAGGGGAATCGCTTGAACCTGGGTGGAGGAGGTTGCAGTGAGCCTAGATCCCACCACTGCACTCTAGCTTGGCGACACAGCAAGACTCCGTCTCAAAAAAAAAAAAAAAAAAAAAGCAAGGTTTTCAGACACACTCCAACACGGATAAACCTTGAGGACATAAGGCTGAGTGAAATGAGCCAGTCACAAAAGGACAGACAGATTTGACTCCACTTCTATTATGTCCCAGAATAGGCAAATTCATACAGGTAGAGTGATGATTAGACCAGGGGCTGATGAGAGGAAGAACGCGGGAACTGGGTCTGGGGTTTTCGTTGTGGAAGACGAAACACTTCTGCAGGTGAGTGGTGGTGATGCTCCCACAGGGTGCGTGCACTTTAAGGCCTCTGAACTTGAAGATGGTTAATAAGGTACATTTGAGGGGGGCTGTCGGGTCGGTGTCTCCCGCGGCTGTGGCGGCTCCAGCCTTGGCGGTTCCTCCCGGGGCGGCGGCCGCTTGGTCGACGCCTCCTCTGCCAGCTGAGCCCGCGGGAGCCTGGGACGCCGCTTCCCCGCCCATCCTCGGCTTCCCCGCGTGCTGGTGAGGCGTCGCGGGAGGAGGACCTCGGGGAGGCGGCGGGGAGGGTGCGCTCAGGCCCCGCGGATGACCCCGCCGGGCGGAGGCGGGAACGTGCGGGAGGGAGGCGGGAGCGTGCGGGAGGCGGGAGCGTGCGGGAGGCGGGGGCGTGCGGGAGGCGGGAGCGTGCGGGCTGAGGGGCGGGCGGGGCGGGCGCGTCTGCGGCCGTCGCTGGGGACCGGGCGGGAGGACGCAGGGAAGGGCGTGGGGAGGCTGCTGGGTAGCGTGGGGGCGTGTGGGGAGGGAGCGGTTCCGGGTAGCGGGGGATGGGCACGTGCGTTCTGCTCGTGGGGGAGGATGGAAATCGGGAACAGGTGCTATAATCGTTAAAGGAAAAAAAATCTTTGCTTAGGGAGCGAGCCCTCCCGCCATCCCCATCCTTACTGTAGAGCTCTTTGCATCCGGTTATGAGACGCGAAACTAGTTGGGGACAGTCACTGGATTTAGAAGCATTCCCTGAGTGGCAGTGTGGCTTAATGGTAAGTGTTTGGGAATGGGAGTCTAAAGGACCTGCTTTCTTCCCCCACCCGCCTTTTTTTTTTTTTTTTGCTAGGCTGTCATAATCAAGTTTCAGCATAAAGGACCTGGTTTCTTTCTTTTTCTTTTCTTTTCTTTTTTTTTTTTTTTTTTTTTGAGACAGAGTCTTGCTCTGTGGCCAGGCTGGAGTGCAGTGGTGGGATTTCGGCTCACTGCAACCTCCTCCTCCGGGGTTCAAGCAGTTCTCCTGCTTCAGCCTCCGGAGTAGCTGGGACTACGCCACCACGCCCAGCTAATTTCTGTGTTTATTTTTAGTAGAGACGGGGTTTCACCACGTCGGCCAGGATGGTCTCAGACCTCGTGATCCGCCTCCGCGTGCTGGGATTACAGGCGTGAACCACCGCACCCGGCCAGGACCTGGTTTCTTAACCCGCAAGCTCAGGGTTCATTTCTTAGCTTCCTTAAGCCTCAGTATTTTCACCCACGAATTAACCAAGAGGTTAATTCATGCCTTTGAATTTTATCTATAAAAACAGCAACATGAATGTGTCTATGAAGTGGCGGTATTACGGAGTGTTCGGAATAGTGAGAATGCTGTTTGAGAATGCTGCTACTTGCCCCACTCGGTGACTGTGGAACTAAAAAAAAAAAGCGAAGTCGAAGAAGTCTGTCATTGATGGTATTCTTGGAAGGAAAAAAAGGCCCCATCCTAAATAACCGAAGTTGGTTGTCAGAGCCCTTCATGACCTGGGAAATTGTATCAAGCTGTGCTTCACAGATTGACTGATTGACTGTATCGTTCCAGGTTTTACCATCTAGAATTGATGTTTGGAAATAATGGGCTTGGTCTTTAACAAGATCCTGCTGTATCTAGTTGTGAAAGTTCTTTCTGGTATATTTCTATAATCGGCGCGTGTGCTTAGCGTCTGTATTGCTATAATCGGCGCGTGTGCTTAGCGTCTGTATTTGTATAATCGGCGCGTGTGCTTAGCGTCTGTATTTGTATAATCGGCGCGTGTGCTTAGCGTCTGTATTGCTATAATCGGCGCGTGTGCTTAGCGTCTGTATTTGTATAATCGGCGCGTGTGCTTAGCGTCTGTATTGCTATAATCGGCGCGTGTGCTTAGCGTCTATATTTGTATAATCGGCGCGTGTGCTTAGCGTCTGTATTTGTATAATCGGCGCGTGTGCTTAGCGTCTATATTTGTATAATCGGCGCGTGTGCTTAGCGTCTGTATTGCTATAATCGGCGCGTGTGCTTAGCGTCTGTATTTGTATAATCGGCGCGTGTGCTTAGCGTCTGTATTTGTATAATCGGCGCGTGTGCTTAGCGTCTGTATTTGTATAATCGGCGCGTGTGCTCAGCGTCTGTATTTGTATAATCGGCGCGTGTGCTCAGCGTCTGTATTTGTATAATCGGCGCGTGTGCTCAGCGTCTGTATTTGTATAATCGGCGCGTGTGCTCAGCGTCTGTATTTGTATAATCGGCGCGTGTGCTTAGCGTCTGTATTTGTATAATCGGCGCGTGTGCTTAGCGTCTGTATTTGTATAATCGGCGCGTGTGCTTAGCGTCTGTATTTGTATAATCGGCGCGTGTGCTTAGCGTCTGTATTGCTATAATCGGCGCGTGTGCTTAGCGTCTGTATTTGTATAATCGGCGCGTGTGCTTAGCGTCTGTATTGCTATAATCGGCGCGTGTGCTTAGCGTCTGTATTTGTATAATCGGCGCGTGTGCTTAGCGTCTGTATTGCTATAATCGGCGCGTGTGCTTAGCGTCTATATTTGTATAATCGGCGCGTGTGCTTAGCGTCTGTATTTGTATAATCGGCGCGTGTGCTTAGCGTCTATATTTGTATAATCGGCGCGTGTGCTTAGCGTCTGTATTGCTATAATCGGCGCGTGTGCTTAGCGTCTGTATTTGTATAATCGGCGCGTGTGCTTAGCGTCTATATTTGTATAATCGGCGCGTGTGCTTAGCGTCTGTATTGCTATAATCGGCGCGTGTGCTTAGCGTCTGTATTTGTATAATCGGCGCGTGTGCTTAGCGTCTGTATTTGTATAATCGGCGCGTGTGCTTAGCGTCTGTATTTGTATAATCGGCGCGTGTGCTTAGCGTCTGTATTTGTATAATCGGCGCGTGTGCTTAGCGTCTGTATTTGTATAATCGGCGCGTGTGCTTAGCGTCTGTATTGCTATAATCGGCGCGTGTGCTTAGCGTCTGTATTTGTATAATCGGCGCGTGTGCTTAGCGTCTGTATTTGTATAATCGGCGCGTGTGCTTAGCGTCTGTATTTGTATAATCGGCGCGTGTGCTTAGCGTCTGTATTGCTATAATCGGCGCGTGTGCTTAGCGTCTGTATTTGTATAATCGGCGCGTGTGCTTAGCGTCTGTATTGCCATAATCGGCGCGTGTGCTTAGCGTCTATATTTGTATAATCGGCGCGTGTGCTTAGCGTCTGTATTTGTATAATCGGCGCGTGTGCTTAGCGTCTATATTTGTATAATCGGCGCGTGTGCTTAGCGTCTGTATTGCTATAATCGGCGCGTGTGCTTAGCGTCTGTATTTGTATAATCGGCGCGTGTGCTTAGCGTCTATATTTGTATAATCGGCGCGTGTGCTTAGCGTCTGTATTGCTATAATCGGCGCGTGTGCTTAGCGTCTGTATTTGTATAATCGGCGCGTGTGCTTAGCGTCTGTATTGCTATAATCGGCGCGTGTGCTTAGCGTCTGTATTTGTATAATCGGCGCGTGTGCTTAGCGTCTGTATTTGTATAATCGGCGCGTGTGCTTAGCGTCTGTATTTGTATAATCGGCGCGTGTGCTTAGCGTCTGTATTTGTATAATCGGCGCGTGTGCTTAGCGTCTGTATTTGTATAATCGGCGCGTGTGCTTAGCGTCTGTATTTGTATAATCGGCGCGTGTGCTTAGCGTCTGTATTGCTATAATCGGCGCGTGTGCTTAGCGTCTGTATTTGTATAATCGGCGCGTGTGCTTAGCGTCTGTATTTGTATAATCGGCGCGTGTGCTTAGCGTCTGTATTTGTATAATCGGCGCGTGTGCTTAGCGTCTGTATTTGTATAATCGGCGCGTGTGCTTAGCGTCTGTATTTGTATAATCGGCGCGTGTGCTTAGCGTCTGTATTTGTATAATCGGCGCGTGTGCTTAGCGTCTGTATTTGTATAATCGGCGCGTGTGCTTAGCGTCTGTATTTGTATAATCGGCGCGTGTGCTTAGCGTCTGTATTTGTATAATCGGCGCGTGTGCTTAGCGTCTGTATTTGTATAATCGGCGCGTGTGCTTAGCGTCTGTATTGCTATAATCGGCGCGTGTGCTTAGCGTCTGTATTTGTATAATCGGCGCGTGTGCTTAGCGTCTATATTTGTATAATCGGCGCGTGTGCTTAGCGTCTGTATTGCTATAATCGGCGCGTGTGCTTAGCGTCTGTATTTGTATAATCGGCGCGTGTGCTTAGCGTCTGTATTTGTATAATCGGCGCGTGTGCTTAGCGTCTGTATTGCTATAATCGGCGCGTGTGCTTAGCGTCTGTATTTGTATAATCGGCGCGTGTGCTTAGCGTCTGTATTTGTATAATCGGCGCGTGTGCTTAGCGTCTGTATTTGTATAATCGGCGCGTGTGCTTAGCGTCTGTATTGCTATAATCGGCGCGTGTGCTTAGCGTCTGTATTGCTATAATCGGCGCGTGTGCTTAGCGTCTGTATTTGTATAATCGGCGCGTGTGCTTAGCGTCTGTATTTGTATAATCGGCGCGTGTGCTTAGCGTCTGTATTTGTATAATCGGCGCGTGTGCTTAGCGTCTGTATTGCTATAATCGGCGCGTGTGCTTAGCGTCTGTATTTGTATAATCGGCGTGTGTGCTTAGCGTCTGTATTGCTATAATCGGCGCGTGTGCTTAGCGTCTGTATTTGTATAATCGGCGCGTGTGCTTAGCGTCTGTATTTGTATAATCGGCGCGTGTGCTTAGCGTCTGTATTTGTATAATCGGCGCGTGTGCTTAGCGTCTGTATTTGTATAATCGGCGCGTGTGCTTAGCGTCTGTATTTGTATAATCGGCGCGTGTGCTTAGCGTCTGTATTTGTATAATCGGCGCGTGTGCTTAGCGTCTGTATTTGTATAATCGGCGCGTGTGCTTAGCGTCTGTATTTGTATAATCGGCGCGTGTGCTTAGCGTCTGTATTTGTATAATCGGCGCGTGTGCTTAGCGTCTGTATTTGTATAATCGGCGCGTGTGCTTAGCGTCTGTATTTGTATAATCGGCGCGTGTGCTTAGCGTCTGTATTTGTATAATCGGCGCGTGTGCTTAGCGTCTGTATTGCTATAATCGGCGCGTGTGCTTAGCGTCTGTATTTGTATAATCGGCGCGTGTGCTTAGCGTCTGTATTTGTATAATCGGCGCGTGTGCTTAGCGTCTGTATTTGTATAATCGGCGCGTGTGCTTAGCGTCTGTATTTGTATAATCGGCGCGTGTGCTTAGCGTCTGTATTTGTATAATCGGCGCGTGTGCTTAGCGTCTGTATTTGTATAATCGGCGCGTGTGCTTAGCGTCTGTATTGCTATAATCGGCGCGTGTGCTTAGCGTCTGTATTGCTATAATCGGCGCGTGTGCTTAGCGTCTGTATTTGTATAATCGGCGCGTGTGCTCAGCGTCTGTATTTGTATAATCGGCGCGTGTGCTCAGCGTCTGTATTTGTATAATCGGCGCGTGTGCTCAGCGTCTGTATTTGTATAATCGGCGCGTGTGCTCAGCGTCTGTATTTGTATAATCGGCGCGTGTGCTCAGCGTCTGTATTTGTATAATCGGCGCGTGTGCTCAGCGTCTGTATTTGTATAATCGGCGCGTGTGCTCAGCGTCTGTATTTGTATAATCGGCGCGTGTGCTCAGCGTCTGTATTTGTATAATCGGCGCGTGTGCTCAGCGTCTGTATTTGTATAATCGGCGCGTGTGCTCAGCGTCTGTATTTGTATAATCGGCGCGTGTGCTCA